GGAACATGTGACATGATCCTTTTCGTGATTGCCCGGTGGTATAGGCAACACGTCCCTTTTAATTCTTTCTTCATATCATGCGTTATTTCGCATCTATAGGAAACTACAGGTAATAGATAGGCAATCCTGTACCTTGAGAACCTTACTTCCAGTGGACTAGAAGTTTGGAGATCGAGGGAGTTCACAGCATTATAAAGCTTTCCCTCACTTGGGCGCTTTTTGTGCGATCCGTATGTAAGGCTCTTTCACCGCTCTTCATGAAGTGAGAAGCCTTAGCATACGTTCCTTATTGTTTGCATATCACGCATCATTGCATTTGAAAAATTGGAATTAAAACCCCCAACAACAAAAAGAAGAAGAAGAAGAAGAAGATCATTCATCATTTTGCATGGTTTAAATTTAGGTTTCAGTCTTTGAGCGAAACCTCTGCGAGCCTCCACTCAAAGAGGGGCAGCTGTTGACACCTAAATTTTGGAGACCTAATTAGTCATTCATTGCATAAAAATTAGGGATCGATCCCGGTCCCTAGAAAAAATTAATTAGTTAAATTGCATATAGATATTAGGAGCATTTCATTAATAGTTAATTAGGCCCATATAGTTTGCACATTTATCGAACATACGGCAGCGAATGGTTCTGAGCTTAATTCAATCAAGCCCATGACCAAAAGTCACATGTTTTGCATGTGTGATCTTCGGTCGCAAGAGATCTTCTATATATATATTTTTTCTGCCACATGGAGGACCAAGAAGGAAGGGAGATTCATTATATTTGTCTGTATTATCAGAAGATAGGAGGGAGTAATATCCTATCCGCACATATCTTTAATCCATGGACAGTAATTGGCAATATATCTTTTGGAAATTCCATTAAAAAATCTTGGGCGTCACGACAAGGCAAGGGGGAACATTCTTCACCGAGGCGAGGGCAATATATAAAGGAAAGAGGAAGTGTATCAGCAGATTTTGTTTCTTGGTATCTTTGTGCAAAGGAAAAAAAATATATGAAGGATACAAGAAGAGGAAAACGGAATCGGTCAACGTGGGGGATATATATTTGGAATTACGTTCTGGCGTCATGGGCACAAGCAAAAAGGGAAGAAGCCAAACGTAATATGTTTTAAATATTCTCGAGTGGGTCTCTTTCTAAAAAGGCCTAGACATTCTCACTTATAAAAGGATCACGTACAGACAAGAACAGGAGGTCGAGAGAGGTATGGAAGGAGGGGCTTCGTAAAAAAAAAGGGGGTGAGCAGAGAGAGTGAATTGGAGAGAAAAAAAATACGCTTCACAGTACGTCCAAAAAAGGTGAGAAAAAGTTAGGAGTGAGGGCTTGATCAAAAAAGAAAGGAGAGAACAGACGTGAGGAAAAGAAAGAGGGTTTTCGATTTCCACTAGCCGAGAACCTTGCATCGGCGTCTGTTGATCCATCCGCCGCTCGGTCCGTTGCCATCGTCGCCAGGAAACAAGTTCGAGCTACTGCCGCGGTCCTTCGCTTCAGCCATTCACGTTTTTTTTAAGGCTGGGGATCGAGCATTGTCACCTCACCCGTGGATCAAGCAATCCTTGGTGTTTCAATTTGACAACTTTGTCAAATTAGGTAATGAATGTTCTTAACTTGTGATATTTGTCGTGCATGATTTTTAGGTAATGATTACTGTTTGGATTACGAGAGAAACTTGCATAAAAAAATCCTGGTTTTCCTTCTTGTTCTTGTTCAATCCGAAAATTCGCATTACATTGGTGATCACGTTAAAATTGCAATTTGACTTGCAAGATGTTAATTGGATCATTGTAATTTCGAATCCATTGATGGTATGGGCTTGTGGATGACTATTGTTTGAATCTTTATTCAAAATTAGTGGATGGACATTTCCCTTGTGGATGAGTTGATCTTATTTGAATTTTTGGTGATTGCAAGAGCTTCATCCGAATTTGCTGATGAGTATAGTGCACACGAAGATATCTCTAAAGGATTAAGCATTGTTTTTTTTTTTTAAAAAAAACCTTTAAAAAAAAAAACGAAGGTGCCTCGCTTAATTTAAAAACTGTGATTTAACTGAATATTCTTTGGAAATCTTGGATGTGTATTACTTGTCAAATTTGGATAGAATTTGAAAATTTCAAAATCTTTTAAATATATCCAAGATATTTAAGATAGCAAAATCTTTTCAAGATGTGATCGGTTAGGAAAATCTCCTAATCCGCAACCGCACACATGGGAATAAGTCTATCTATCAGGCTTTAGATTGAGTTATTTCCATAGCGGGTATTTCGAATTTTTAGGGTCGATCTGTCAGGCTTCAGATCGAAACTTAGTTCGAAAGATTTAGCGGTTATAATCTTTCTACTAAAAGATTTGCGATTTAAATTTAAATTCGAAAATACATCAAAAATACATAAAAAAATCATAAAAAAAGAAAATCAAAAAAAAATTGCACCTTTGAACTCTAAGTCAGAATTCATCAAAATTGCCGAATTGAGCATTTTTCTTGAGATTGGTACCGAAAGGACGTTAGGATAATCTAGCATAACCAAGTCCCCGGATTTATAATCTCTGGTTCGTAGAAATAAAATAGTACTCCCGCTATTTTATTTAAGTTTCTAATCAACCTACCTTAAATGATTAGTGGCTGCTCCCATTGAAAATATTTGCATGCTCATAATTGGACCTAAGTTGCGAATTGGTAGAGTTTGGGAGAATTCGAGCTGGGTTAGTTAATTTAATTGATCTAGTAATCCATTAGCCTAAGATCGGAAAACCTGATTTTTAGGTCGCAACAAAGACAAAGACATGTCAATTGAAGTGGATGGATATAATGAAATGAGTTTGCTCATGAAATTGCCATTCCAAGGAGCTGCTGAAGTGGACTCTACGACCGTGAGTGCGACAAACAAGGTGGGTGTATCTAACTCCCGTCCTCCTCTTGGTAAAAAGCGAGCTAATCAATCGGAGGCCTGGGATAATTTTTCGAGAATTATAGATGAGAAAACACAAAAAACAACTAGAGTAAAGTGCATTCACTATGGGACTGAGTATAATTATTCTGTTGATCATGGAATGTCTACTATGCGGAAGCACTTGACAAAGTGCAAAAAGTATCCTTATGCAGATAAGAAGCAAATGTTGTTTGCACCACGTAACAAAGATGTGGTTGGCGAGGCAGGGGAAAATACTAGTGGTGGTAGTGTCTTAACAATGTGGAAGTTTGATAAAAAACGTTCTAGGAACATGCTTGCTCGGATAATTATTATTGATGAACAACCTTTTTCCACGGTTGAGCGTGTCGATTTTCGTGATTTTGTCACTGAATTACAGCCTCTTTTCCAACATTTATCACGATTTACGGTGGCTAAAGATTGTATGAAGTTGTATCTGAGTGAAAAAACTTGTTTGAAAGCTTACTTTGGTAAGCTTAATTCTAGGATTGCACTTACAACTGATATGTGGAATTCCATCCAAAACTTGAACTATTTATGTCTCACTGCACATTTTATTGATGAAAACTGGAAGTTGCATAAAAGAATCATCAATTTTGTGGTGATGCATAATCACAAGGGTAGGGAGATTGGGAAAATGGTGGAGAAGTGCATTTACGAGTGGGAATAGAAAATAAGGTGTCCACAATAACCGTGGATAATACTAGTTCCAATGATGTGACCATTGATTATTTGAAGGAAAAATTTTCAAGGGAAAGGCTTTTGATCTTGAATGGTGATGGTTTACATATGAGGTGCACAGCTCATTTATTAAACTTGATTGTCCGAGATGGATTGAATGAGGTGCGTGATTCTATTGCACGTATCCGAAATGTAGTTAGGTATGTGAGGAGTTCTCCAATGAGAGCCAAAACATTTCAATCTTGTATTGAGAATGGGAGAATCACATACAAGGGTTCAGTTTGTCTTGATATTGCCACTAGATGGAATTCCACTTACCTAATGTTAGACACAGCCATAAAGTTCAGGAAAGCTTTTGAAAGGATGGAAGAAGATGATTCATCTTTCTTAAGGGAGATTGACAATGATCCTCCTCGAAATGAAGATTGGGAAAATGCTATCATTCTTTCTAAATTTCTGAAACGGTTTTATAATGCCACCAAACGGATGTCGGGGAGTTCATATGTTACTTCAAATGATTACTTTGAGAGTATAGCTTTTTTGTATAAATATTTGAATCATGCGGCGAATTCTTTGGATCCTAAGCTTCAAGCTATGGGTTTAAAAATGAAGGAGAAGTTTGACAAATATTATGGGAGTTTGGATAAAATAAACATGATGGTGTTGATTGCGGTTGCATTGGATCCCACAAAAAAGTTAAATTATGTAAAGTTCTGTTACGGATAAATTTATGATGATGAAGCAAAAATTGATGAGATGCATGATAAGGTGAAGCTTGCCTTGGAGCGTTTGTATAAATTTTATGAGCAATCCCTTGTTAGTTCTAGTAAACAAAATTTTGGTGCTTCAAGTGTGAGGACTAGTAGTAGTGGTTCCAATGTCAATACTGATAATAATGAAGGTGACAATGAGGATGACATCTAAGCTTGGCGACAAAGCTGTCTTCACGCGAAGAAAACAGTGCTTGATGAAAACAAATCTGAGCTTGATCGGTATCTTGAAGCCGAAAGTGAAGATGTCATTAATCTTGACCTTTTGATGTGATGGAAGAGTACTGGGTCAAAGTATAAAATCTTATCTTTGATGGCTCGGGATGTTTTGTCAATTCCCATGACTACCGTTGCTTCGGAGTCAACTTTTAGTACATCGGGACGTGTGCTTAACGGCTTTCGAAGTTCTTTAACTCCTAGAGTGGTGGAAGGTTTGATTTGCACTCAAGATTGGTTGAGAGTTGTTCGCGTGCCAATTAATGTTGAAAAGTGCATTGAAAATGCGGAAATGTTTGAGTCAGGTAAGTCGTTTAAATTTCTTTCTATTTTGTAATTCATTCACATATTATCTATTGAGTGAATACTTTATTTAATCTCTTTTTGGGTTTTTAGATTTGGATTGTCTTACCGAGGACATTATCATTGGTAAATAGACTTCCTTTTGTGGAAGCTCCGATTTTGTGGTGAGTAAATAGACTTCATTAATCGGCATATTTGCATTTGTCTTTAGAGCATGGTTTCTTGTTGATTTTCCTTTATGTATGAATTTCAGGATTTTTCTTAGAGATTGAACCCATTGAAGGTAACATAGCTGGATTCAGGCCACCTCCAAAAGGTCAGTGTATATATTTAGATATATGTCCTGATGTTAGGTCTATTTTAGTCAAAAAGAAAAAGACAGCAAAACTATAACTCTCCCTCAAGTGGGCAATCACCAAGATCCCATATCCTAATCAGTAATCACTACTTTGTATATTCATTACTTTTCAGTTGGAGCTTTTTGTCCTCTCGTAAGGCAGGGAAGGATGCTGGAGCTTTTTGTCCACTTCTTTTTAATTCTTATGGCATGGGACAATTGTTTATCAAATTCTGATGTGTGGATCAGAGCCTTCGGATTTTTGGAAACAGAAGTGAGGAGTTCTCTCATCATGGCGCAAAATAAATAGCTAAACATGTTGAATAGATTCCTGAAAATGTGACTCTTAAAGATTTATGCGATTAGACTATGTCTTGCCACATAGTGCTTTTGGATTGTTGATTTTGATGGATTGTAATTTCAATTGCCCATTTTAGGGATTGTTACTTTTGGCGGATAGTGGTTTTTATTATTCATCTTTTATTTTGAATCGTTTCATTACTACATATATTATTTTGCTAGAAAAAAATGAAACCAGAAAAAGGAAAAAAAACATAGGTTCTCAAGTAGACCCTGAAACTGGACCGGAAAAACAGGGTCGGTTCCAAAATAGGGTCCAGGGAAAACAGGGTCAGTTTCAGGTTCCAAAAATTGAAAACTTATTATAACAGGATTGGTTTCAGGTTCCAGGTCTAGACCCAACCCACCCTGGAATCGATCACCCCTAGTGTACACATGGGATTAAACAGGTATGGTTGTAGGAATGAAGAATTTTCCATTTAAAGTGAATGGTAAACTGATGGCCCATTTCCAAGATATTCGAGTTGCGCATTGCCCTAGAGAGTCCAATCGAAGTAGCGAACTAGGTTGCCAAAGCGCATAGATTTCGGGACTTTTCCTTTCAATTGGGTTTATAACCCTCCTCAAGTCTTACGGGTCTTCTTATGTACAGGAGCAAGAAATGAAATGGAATCTTTTCCGATCAACAAGAAAAAGGTCTAGCGCAAAAAAATCTTCTATGTTGATTGATGCGCCTTCACAGACCAAATGTCTTGGCATTTTCTTCAACGTCCTGCAACTAGTACATGGTTGGCTCTGCCCATCTTTAATGTAAATTGACATTTCATCGTACCAGAAATTATTGATCGGTCAGTTATATCATGTTATCGTTGTCGCGTGATATTTTCATTATATAAAGTAACTTGAATTGAAAGTCTATTTCTAGAGCAACAATTAAAGAGCCGTCGTATGATTGGGATTGTTAGTTGTAAGTCGCTACCTGCACATTGATTGTTGATTTGGAAGCTTCTTCGGGATCGATCTCGTCTCTCACGGCCCAATAATTTTGGAATGCGCCTTTTTTCAGCTTCTATACTTCATGTTTAGGTGTCCTTCAAAAAATTTCATAGTTTGGTCGAGATTCTTTCCCCACCTTACATTCGATGATAATTTAGTTATCAATCTCTGAAATTGCGAACAGTCTAAAGCACAACAACAGTTCTTCCGGACTTGGGAGCTCCCGCGAATGTACAAAAGCAAATTCCCAAACGATACGCCGATCTAACACTAAAGGCGATGCACGAGAAGATTCATATTCCCGGTTTGCTTTATTCACTAAGATCTCTCTTTCTTTGCTAAGCAAAGTGTCTCCATTTCATTAAACATGCAATCTCAATTGTCCTGAGATTCCTGCAATAGATCAAATTTAAAACACTGTTGCATGATGAACTGAGAATCGGTGGGCTTTATCTTTATCTAGAACCGTGGATCAGTAGCTGAATTAACTTTGTGCTTAAAATAGTAATATGACGATATCACGAACTTCTTGTGGAATTATCTAAAGCATCATTGGCCATAAAGTTGTGATAATCTGACATATGCAGGGATTGCACCTCATCCCAGGAAGTTTCCACTTCCTCCTCGCCAAAAGGAAAAGTCCGAATTAAAAGATTAGGTTTTGGGTCACGACAGGGATCTCGGATTGGCTCAAGAACCACTTTGCAATTTACAAAAAGATTAAATTAAATTAAATTAAAAAAAATAAAAAAGGGACCGATATCGTGTAATGTTCCAACGCTGGTGTAGTTAGTCACACAGTTCTATGTCAACATATAGAGCCCAAAGAAACAGACAAAAGGGTTATGGCACAAAAAGAATTGGACAAAAGATGCACAATAATCAAATCAAGATCCACACAAGCTTAGATTCCTCCTAAACTACTCGTCTCTCCGCTAAATTAGTGTGCGTGGTTGCTTTATGGACTCTTGATTAACAAAAAGATAAACCCATTTTAGTGTATAATTAATCAAAATCATTTGGTGGTGGTGGGCCCTTGTGGGTCCTAACTCTTTTGTCTTGGGCACTGAAGGAGACCCTAAGGATATACAAGCAAGCCACTCTAGTTTGTAAAGCCTAATTTGTAGGGAGATTAGCATGTGATTAGAGGTGTCAAAATGGGTCTTAAACCCATATATGACCCATTTAAAAATAAATGGGTCATATATGGGTCACTTTAATTTTAAAGAGTCAACCTTAAATGGGTTTTAAATTTTAAAGCTTAAAGATAAATGGGTCTAAATGGATTGAGTTTGGAACCCATGTCCAACCCACCTACTAGATCCATCCACACACACTCTCTCTTTACAAAAATGTTTAAAAAAAATCGAAATTTAATTATTTTTTTTTCTTTTCTTTTTTTTTCTTTTCTCTTCTTTCTTTTTCTTTTTTTTATTCCGTAGGTGGTTGCCCACGGCGACCGGCCACCGGGCGGGACGACCTCGCCGGAGGCCGGGCTCGAGCTCGCCGGCCTCGGGCGAGGCTCGAGCCTCGCCGAGCGAGCCTCGAGCTCGCCGCCCGGCAAGGCGAGCCTCGCCGACCGGCGAGCCTCGAGCTCGGGGCCCTCGAGCCTCGCCCGATCTCGGCGAGGCTCGAGCCTCGCCCGATCTGGCGAGACTCGAGCTCGCCGGCCTCGGGCGAGCTCGACCTCACCGGATCCGGCGAGGTGGAGCCTCGCCGAGGCCGCGAGACTCGAGCTCGCCGGCCTCGGGCGAACTCGACCTCGCCCGAGGCTAGCGAGCTCAAGCTTCGCCGGCCTCGGGCGAGGCTCCACCTCGCCAGATCCGGCGAGGTCGAGCTCAACTGAGGTCAGCGAGCTCGAGTCTCGCCCGGATCGGCGAGGCTAAGGCCCGCTAGAGGCCTCGAGGCCTCGGCCTCGCCGGATCGGCGAGAACGCCTCGCCGCTCCGGCGCTCGTCCTCGCTCAGTGGTCGGTCGCCGGCCACGTAGGCCGGCGATCGGCCAAAAATAAACGAAAAAGAATAAAATAAAAAAAAAATAATTAAAAATTCGATTTAAAAAATAAAAAAAAATATTAATTTTTTTTTATTTTCTTGGATAATGACTTTATGGAAAATATTTTTTAGAAATGTCGCATTTTTCGTAAAACAAACAGAACCTCAATTTTAAAAAAAATTATAAAATTTTTTCATTAGCTTTGTATTGCATAAAATGTTTTAGCAGTATAATTTTTAAAAAAAAATTCATAAGAAACAAGTATTCCTAGATTAGGTTAAATATAAAAGTGTTTTAGCAATATGGGTCGGGTATGGGTTGGGTATGGGTCGGGTCAGGTATGGGTCGATATATTTACACTATGAATAAATGGGTCATAAACGGGTTAATGGGTCAATTTGGGTCGAACCATTTATGACCCCACCCAAATCCGACCCGACCCGACCCACCCGTTTAACAGGTCTACATGTGATTTGGGGAAAAGGAGGAAAAGAGAGTTGACAAGATTGGCAGCATTCTCTTGTGCACAAATCATCATAAGCAAAAGGGAACGGTAAAGGATACTTGATTAGTAGGATCATAATTATACATGTGGAGCACGACAAGTTTGACGAACTGAAAATAGGGTTAGCGGTACGTAATCCTTGCGCTCCGATTGATTAGGTCTATCGAGTATCTTCCGATTCTAGGAACAATAATTGCGACGTGTTACAGCAAGAGCAATATCTATTTGCTTACACTAAATAATTATTCTAGTTCATCAAATTAAGTTGAACTTCATGCCCTCCACTGCCCTTACCTCCTAGCTTTCTTTGCCCTATGAGAAAATAATACACCTTTTCTACGTTATAGAAGCAACTTGGTATCGACATCTTGATGTTGACATCTCTGGTTCGATTCCAATCAAACCAATGAGGCAATCGTTGCACAACTGACACATAGCTCAAGATTTTTTTTTTTTGCCTTTGTTATATTATAGAAGGTGGAGAGATGCTTAGGCTCATCAAAGACGAAAGAATAAATCTAGACATCACGAGATTTTGCGAATCCTAAATCTCACATAATTTTTAGGGGAAGGGACCCTGTGAGATTAGATTATGGGTTCCCACACAAAGGAGAGGCAATCATTGAAAGCTAACAATATTGAAATGGCACAACCATTTGTGCCATTCCTAATAAAATCTGATTTTATTTGATTAGTTCTCCTCGCTCTCGCTCCTCCTCCTCCTGACGACCTCCTCCACCTTCGCTACTGCTGCTTCCCCTCCGCGCGCGTGCGAAATGTCCACAATTGCCTCCACTCCCTTGCTCGACTTCCTCGAGCGCCTCCAGGAGACCGCCCTCGCCGCCTTCGGGCCCCGCAACTTCGACCCCAAGCTCTACGTCGACCTCTACCTTAGGTCCGACCTCGAGGCCGTCGAGCGGGCCTTCGCCGGCCTCCCCAGGTCGCCCAACGGCTCGGTCTCGGCCGGCGACCTGGAGAGGTTCATAGCCTCTCATTTGGGGGCCGCGGGGAGCGATCTGGTGTACGCGCAGCCGGCGGACTTCGTGCCCGAGCCGGAGGGGTTCCTGCCCCGGGTGAGGAACCCGGCGGTGCGGGCGTGGGCGCTCGAGGTGCACGCGCTGTGGACGAACCTGAGCAGGCGCGTGGACGATGCGGTGCGGGAGAGGCCGGATCGGCACACCTTGGTCCCCCTGCCGGGGCCGCTCATCATCCCCGGTTCCCGGTTCAGGGAGGTGAATTACTGGGACTCTTACTGGATCGTCAGGTCACAGCTCTTTTCCCATACGTATTCCATGCCCTCCCCTTCTTATCCGTATCTAGCTACTGGACTATGTGGTACACAACATCGTCGTTGTTCACACATCAGTCTGATGAACTTGCAAGTTACAGTCTCCTTTGGCAGAGTAATTCTTTTGGCTTAGGTAATGGGTACTATAGCGAGGCATGGATTAGTAATCAGTATTGTCGGTTGCCGAATTTCACATAAGTAGCCAGACACATGATTATCTTTGCTTATAACTTTGTTTCTTGTCGGGACTATTAGTCGGAAAGATTACAACGCATGAAGAAGCTAGCTTGCGCGAGTATCGAAATTTGATTTCGTAGGGGTAACGTTAGCGGACCATGTGCAGGGGCTTGTTAGCTTCTAAGATGTATG